GTGACCGGTAATATTGATTATCTTTCCTGATTTGGACGTGTCTAGCGCTACTCTAATCAAGAGTATAAGGAAGCTTATAACTTTATAAGTACTGTTTAGATTGCAAAATCTCTTAAAAAATACTTGAGAAAAATCTACTCAAGTACAATCAACTTGAAAACTTTCACCAGACGAAATAACTAACGTCGATTTAAAAAAACTGAAATATGTCAGTTTGTCAGTGAAAAACTGACGTCAAGTTCCTGAAGTACCAATTTCAGCTACACTCCTAAGCACTATATTTGGAAGACTCCAGTTCTATTTGGTTGTTTTTTCAATGTTCAATTTGTATAATACAACTATAAATATCGCTATAAACATAATAATGGAAGGAGAATTAATGGTTATGGACAAATTAATACGAAAAATTAAAATCTAATCCTTTTTTAATGATCGTGTCATTGACCTTCTATTACTAAGTCAAGATCTTCTATAAAGTCCATTATTGTTTTTAATCGCGTGACACGATACAACGGAAAACCTAAGCTGGAAATAATAATCGCTCATGGTGTTCTTCGTTGTCGCCGAGACCTTTTCATTTCCTTTAACGATATAGCGCGAAAGCGCAACAAGGTATGCGTATTTTTAACTTTGTAGATTGGTTTTCCACGATCACAATCAATGGTTATGAATTATTCAAAATCGACTACCGTCCAACGCTGCTGCTGGCATAATTAAAAGTATTGGTTTATCGAAAGATGATTTGATACCCCTGATTTCTGAACTGGAGGCCGATTCTAACTGAATTTCGACCCTTAAAGGTTGGATTTAATACATGCCTAATTTCAAAACTGTAGAATGCCCAAAGAAATTTCTTGTTTACGACCATAAAATTGAAAAGCATCGGAAAATGAAGTTCGAGAGCTGTATGAAACCTTTATTTACTTGATCCGTCACCGTAGGATGATTTTCAAAGCTCACAAACTCAATCCCCAGGCAGAGTCAATCTTCTTAACGACACGTTTCCAGTAGGCCAAAGGATGTCTTACAGCAAAACCACTGTAAATTCCATCAAAACCTAGTGGTTTCTAAACAGAGTCAATCTACTTGACGCTTCTTTCTCACGTAATGTCATTTTTTCTGATAAATTTATCAATCGGTAGCTACAAGGATGTCCATCAAAACAGAGTCAACCTACTTGACGTTTGTTTTTCTCGTAACGATGGCACTTTTTGCAATGAATTCGTCACCCGGCAGTTACAAGGATGTCTTCCAACTTAGCCATTGTGAACATCATCAAAACCCAGTGGTACCCAGAGTCAACCTACTTGACGCCTTTTTGTTCAGCAATGGCACTTTTTCTAATAAATTCTTCATACTGTAGCTTCAAGGATATCTTCTAGCGGAACTACTGTGAACTCCATCAGAGCCCAGTGGTGCCCAGACAGAGTCAACCTACTTGACGCTTTTTCTCATAATGATCGGACTTTTTGTAATAAATTCATCACCCGGCAGTTACAAGGATGTCTTCACAACTTAGCCATTGTGAACGTCATCAAAATTCAGTGGTACCCAGAGTCAACCTACTTGACGCCTTTTTGTTCAGCAATGGCACTTTTTCTAATAAATTCTTCATACTGTAGCTTCAAGGATATCTTCTAGCGGAACTACTGTGAACTCCATCAGAGCCCAGTGGTGCCCAGACAGAGTCAACCTACTTGACGCTTTTTCTCATAATGATCGGACTTTTTGTAATAAATTCATCACCCGGCAGTTACAAGGATGTCTTCACAACTTAGCCATTGTGAACGTCATCAAAATTCAGTGGTACCCAGAGTCAACCTACTTGACGCCTTTTTGTTCAGCAATGGCACTTTTTCTAATAAATTCTTCATACTGTAGCTTCAAGGATATCTTCTAGCGGAACTACTGTGAACTCCATCAGAGCCCAGTGGTGCCCAGACAGAGTCAACCTACTTGACGCTTTTTCTCATAATGATCGGACTTTTTGTAATAAATTCATCACCCGGCAGTTACAAGGATGTCTTCACAACTTAGCCATTGTGAACGTCATCAAAATTCAGTGGTACCCAGAGTCAACCTACTTGACGCCTTTTTGTTCAGCAATGGCACTTTTTCTAATAAATTCTTCATACTGTAGCTTCAAGGATATCTTCTAGCGGAACTACTGTGAACTCCATCAGAGCCCAGTGGTGCCCAGACAGAGTCAACCTACTTGACGCTTTTTCTCATAATGATGGAACTTTTTGTAATAAATTCATCACCCGGTAACTACAAGGATGTCTTCCAACTTAGCCATTGTGAACGTCATCAAAACCCAGTGGTACCCAGAGTCAACCTACTTGACACCTTTTTGTTCAGCAATGGCACTTTTTCTAATAAATTCTTCATACTGTAGCTTCAAGGATATCTTCTAGCGGTACTACTGTGAACTCCATCAGAGCCCAGTGGTGCCCAGACAGAGTCAACCTACTTGACGCTTTTTCTCATAATGATCGGACTTTTTGTAATAAATTCATCACCCGGCAGTTACAAGGATGTCTTCACAACTTAGCCATTGTGAACGTCATCAAAATTCAGTGGTACCCAGAGTCAACCTACTTGACGCCTTTTTGTTCAGCAATGGCACTTTTTCTAATAAATTCTTCATACTGTAGCTTCAAGGATATCTTCTAGCGGAACTACTGTGAACTCCATCAGAGCCCAGTGGTGCCCAGACAGAGTCAACTTACTTGACGCTTTTTCTCATAATGATGGAACTTTTTGTAATAAATTCATCACCCGGTAACTACAAGGATGTCTTCCAACTTAGCCATTGTGAACGTCATCAAAACCCAGTGGTACCCAGAGTCAACCTACTTGACACCTTTTTGTTCAGCAATGGCACTTTTTCTAATAAATTCTTCATACTGTAGCTTCAAGGATATCTTCTAGCGGAACTACTGTGAACTCCATCAGAGCCCAGTGGTGCCCAGACAGAGTCAACCTACTTGACGCTTTTTCTCATAATGATGGAACTTTTTGTAATAAATTCATCACCCGGTAACTACAAGGATGTCTTCCAACTTAGCCATTGTGAACGTCATCAAAACCCAGTGGTACCCAGAGTCAACCTACTTGACACCTTTTTGTTCAGCAATGGCACTTTTTCTAATAAATTCTTCATACTGTAGCTTCAAGGATATCTTCTAGCGGAACTACTGTGAACTCCATCAGAGCCCAGTGGTGCCCAGACAGAGTCAACCTACTTGACGCTTTTTCTCATAATGATGGAACTTTTTGTAATAAATTCATCACCCGGTAACTACAAGGATGTCTTCCAACTTAGCCATTGTGAACGTCATCAAAACCCAGTGGTACCCAGAGTCAACCTACTTGACACCTTTTTGTTCAGCAATGGCACTTTTTCTAATAAATTCTTCATACTGTAGCTTCAAGGATATCTTCTAGCGGAACTACTGTGAACTCCATCAGAGCCCAGTGGTGCCCAGACAGAGTCAACCTACTTGACGCTTTTTCTCATAATGATCGGACTTTTTGTAATAAATTCATCACCCGGCAGTTACAAGGATGTCTTCACAACTTAGCCATTGTGAACGTCATCAAAATTCAGTGGTACCCAGAGTCAACCTACTTGACGCCTTTTTGTTCAGCAATGGCACTTTTTCTAATAAATTCTTCATACTGTAGCTTCAAGGATATCTTCTAGCGGAACTACTGTGAACTCCATCAGAGCCCAGTGGTGCCCAGACAGAGTCAACCTACTTGACGCTTTTTCTCATAATGATCGGACTTTTTGTAATAAATTCATCACCCGGCAGTTACAAGGATGTCTTCACAACTTAGCCATTGTGAACGTCATCAAAATTCAGTGGTACCCAGAGTCAACCTACTTGACGCCTTTTTGTTCAGCAATGGCACTTTTTCTAATAAATTCTTCATACTGTAGCTTCAAGGATATCTTCTAGCGGAACTACTGTGAACTCCATCAGAGCCCAGTGGTGCCCAGACAGAGTCAACCTACTTGACGCTTTTTCTCATAATGATGGAACTTTTTGTAATAAATTCATCACCCGGTAACTACAAGGATGTCTTCCAACTTAGCCATTGTGAACGTCATCAAAACCCAGTGGTACCCAGAGTCAACCTACTTGACACCTTTTTGTTCAGCAATGGCACTTTTTCTAATAAATTCTTCATACTGTAGCTTCAAGGATATCTTCTAGCGGTACTACTGTGAACTCCATCAGAGCCCAGTGGTGCCCAGACAGAGTCAACCTACTTGACGCTTTTTCTCATAATGATCGGACTTTTTGTAATAAATTCATCACCCGGCAGTTACAAGGATGTCTTCACAACTTAGCCATTGTGAACGTCATCAAAATTCAGTGGTACCCAGAGTCAACCTACTTGACGCCTTTTTGTTCAGCAATGGCACTTTTTCTAATAAATTCTTCATACTGTAGCTTCAAGGATATCTTCTAGCGGAACTACTGTGAACTCCATCAGAGCCCAGTGGTGCCCAGACAGAGTCAACTTACTTGACGCTTTTTCTCATAATGATGGAACTTTTTGTAATAAATTCATCACCCGGTAACTACAAGGATGTCTTCCAACTTAGCCATTGTGAACGTCATCAAAACCCAGTGGTACCCAGAGTCAACCTACTTGACACCTTTTTGTTCAGCAATGGCACTTTTTCTAATAAATTCTTCATACTGTAGCTTCAAGGATATCTTCTAGCGGAACTACTGTGAACTCCATCAGAGCCCAGTGGTGCCCAGACAGAGTCAACCTACTTGACGCTTTTTCTCATAATGATGGAACTTTTTGTAATAAATTCATCACCCGGTAACTACAAGGATGTCTTCCAACTTAGCCATTGTGAACGTCATCAAAACCCAGTGGTACCCAGACAGAGTCCACTTACTTGCCGCTTCTTTTTCTCACGTTGATGCCACTTTTGTAATGAATTCAGCATCCGGTAGTTCCGAGGATGTCTTGCGGCGGTTCCACCGCGAACCCAACGAAACCGTACCCAGTTAGTACCCAGACGTGGTCGACTCGTTTGCAGCGGGTTCAGCTGCTGTGGGTGGCAGGTGTCACAATTATAAAACCGCGAAACGTGGTTCGCGCACCTCCAGTCGATCAGGATTTGCCTCTACGATCGCGTGGTGAACACCGTGGACACCATCCCCGTCGAGGCTAGCCTGGTGCGGCACAACTCGAACGCGGTGCGCTTTCATTAATCGATCGGGATTTGCCTCTACGGACATCTTCTTCGTTGAGGTTAGCCTGGTGCGCGCGTATCAGTCGATCGGGATTTGCCTCTACGTCGACCTGGTGGACGACTTCCCCGTCGAGGCTTACCTGGTGGACACCTTCGTCATAGAGGTTAGCCCGGTGCGGCGCGGTTTTGCCTCCTTTTCTCTGTACAGTGCCTGGATGTAAGGATGCCTCCCCAGGAGACTGTTGGAGCTTGCTCGTCAGCCAAGGAAGGCGATGAAAAATGGTTAGTTTTGAAATTATTTTCTTCCATTTTTTTCTTTTCTTGATCAAGGAGAGGAAAAACTAAAAAAAATGCAGGGGCCATAGTCAAATAAAATGTGTTTTTAAGTTGTTTAATTCAAAAAGACTACTAAAGAAAGCATTGAAATTGCAGATCCTCACCAAGTTTCTGCGCTTTTGAATTTTCTGAAACCCTTTGGCTCAGTCAAAAAAATGTTATGCGCTGTCGAAATTTTGTACAAATCTAAAAATACGTCTCTTTGCCTTATCAAGGTATGACACCATTTTTAATTATTGTGACACGATAACAATACGTGCCAATTGCTAGTTTACAGCTCTTCGTTTCAACAAAACAAACTGAAGAATGCTAATATTATACCAAAACTAGATGAAACTGGTTTCAAATTGCCAGCAAAACCAACGCGTAAAACTAAAATATGTGTGAATAACAAAATTCTGGCGTTCGCGGTAAAAATCTTCCAACTCAATTTTTTTCTTAATCTCACGATGCATATTTGAACAACTTTTTCAAATTAGTTATAAAAACTTACTTCTTCAGATTCGACCAGTTTTTTGTTTTTTCTTTTTGGGTAGAAACGGATAAAAAAGGCTTTTGGCAAATTTTCTCTGTATGAAAATCTGTCACTTTAAGAAACTGTCCTTTTAAAGGAGGTGTCCACGAAGGAGAACTTTTAAAGTTACCAATGTGCTACAATCTCTGTTTCAATTTACTCGAGTGAACCCGATTTTTTAACGAATTTTTTTTTCAGTCTCGATTCAAAAATTGTGTAGAAGGAAACGTTATTGAACTGTTATTAAACAATTTCGCAATTGCATCATCGACAGACAGGCGAATCAAGGAAATTGCATTCACTATTTCAGCAAGGTTTTTTGTCAACCACCATGAATCATTTCTGCATTCTATTAAAATGGACGATTGCAAATTCGTAAGAAACTCGCCGATTATTCAAAAGAAATTCCCAAATTGATAACGAATGCATTACAAAGCTACTAGAAATGTGCCTAATCAGCTAAAACGTTATTCCGGCATTTTAATCGATCGATTATGTATTGAATGGATATGAAACATTTCAATGTACGAGTATCATGTAGATGTAGCTTATGAATTGTTGAAACGTTTTTATTACTAAGATTATATTGTGCTAATCTGACACACAGCTTTTAAGATTGGGTACTTGCGTCAGATTAGCGCACTAAATCAATTGTTTACAGGGTGACTTCGAAGTTGAGTCATTTATTTTAACAGTGAGTAGATCAAAAAGAAATGCTTTTTTCCTTTAACATTTTTCTGGTAAAATTAAAGTAACAAAGTTATAGCCCTTTAGAAGTTTGAGTACCGCCCTGTCTCAATAATAATATTATGTGCTCGTGTTTAGCAACAACGGATATAATCCGCCATTCAATGCACACATTTTCAGCAAGTTCTGCTCTTCCGTCAGACAAAATTTCCTTACGTGTAAATGATCGTGCAGAATTGAATGAATTGGTGGTGCATGAAGGTGTAAGGTCTCCTCTATCTGTTAGTATGTCGCTCTCCGATCATCGTCAAGCATTTTCCTCACAGCAGCTACGTTTTCCTCTATTACTGACGTTCGCGGTGTTCCTTCCCTCTCAGCGCCCTGCAGAACGAAATTGTCCCTTTGGAATTATCTGCACCACTGATCTATGCTTAAACCACGCGTAAAACTATACATTAAAACTGCTCTTATATTACTGTCAATACGAATGAACAACCAAATCAGCACACGTACTGATGGCGGCTACTATGCACTCATGGACATGTCTCAACATCCAGTCCGTTAGTTCGATCATATTGCAAAACTTTTATAGTTTGATATCAAGCTTTACTTTGGCATGCGTAAATTCCCCTTTAAATGCTCCGTCTGCAATCTGTCGCCGTTTTTTCAGCTCGGTAAATGCTCCACCTTGAAATTTCGCATTCTTGACCACATCGTAAACGGACAAGACATGCGTATGTGAATATTATTACAAATATTTGAGTTTCATTCGATTTTATTGCTGGATATTATACGATTACGAAATCATACAGGTGTGTACTGACTTTAGTTGAATAGTGAGCTACCGATGAAGTTATGAACTCTAAGGAAGAAGTTGGCTCCTTGTTCAAACACAGAATTGTGCCCACTTGATATTTTCTTCGTAATATGAATTTGGTTTTCCTTAGCGTTCACTGGGTGGTTTGCAGATGCGAGTGTTTGTTCTGCCCTTAGTTCTTATGTTTATTTCTATTTTATGGATGCGACGAATCTTTACAAGGGTAGGCGGCATGACGAATCATTTCAAGGAATTTGGAAATTGATAACTTGGTCGGCTACAGTTCTAAAGCATTTTTGTTTTTCTAACGCTTCAAGAGCTGGTTCAGAACTAACAAGCTTGCCATCCGACGTACGTTTTTGAAGGGCTAATAAAGAAGCGAAAAGCCCCCTTTTGAGTAACTGGAAGTGCTTACTGATGAGAACACAACTTGACACAAATTCTACCAATGCAACACTTATTAACAGCCACTAACTGAGGAAAAATCGAAGCAACTTTTTCAACCGTATAAATCAAAGATAAGAGAAGAACTGAAGTTTTTAGTTTCAAAATTATCGGAGGTCAGTTGCGGATTTTCCCCTCCATCAGAAGGCTGGTCATTTTGACTTAGTGAGTTCAACCCTTGTCTCCTCATTGGTCGATCAGTTTACAACCCTTGCAATGGGCGTCTGATTCTCTGAAGATGGAAACTAACCTGACCAATGATTGTTAGACTTAATTTTTGAACTCAAAATGACCTTAAACTCTATTGTTTAATTACGTACCCTTGTCCCACCTCAAGGAGTGTCTTCAGCGTACAGTCTTCCCTTAAGTTTACGCAACACGCCCCCTTCAGTGGCATCTCGCGGCTTTAATTGCTTTGGGGCAAACCCTGCAGCTTTCAATAATTTCAATGGATTGGGAATTCCTGTAATGGTGAGGCCACAATTCGAGATGTCCTCTTAAATAATTATAAAGTTATACATAGCATTTAGGTAAAACTAACGGTGACTCTCGTCTGGTAATTTTTTATATATTTTTAACAAAATTAGCTTCATCGGAACTACGCAGTCTTTCGTTAGTTTCACCTGCTCCTTTCTAATGATAATTTCCAAACCGCATCTGTCAACGCGCACGTTGACAGAAGGTAGAATACTTATCCAGCCTGGCGCACCTGCTCCTATCAGCTAGGGGAAAATTCTACTGAAAACCTAGCTGTTTGTCTCCTCTTTTTCATATATTCCCACAATTATGACAATTTTTAGTAATATGCTAGCCTTCGGAAGTCTTAGATATCCCATGATACGCCTCTGACACGTGACCGTTCAGCGCTCGGGGTAGTTTCTAACATCTGCTAACCAAATGGTTGAGATTCAAATTTCTCAGCACTCCTTTGGTTGTAACTTTATAGTTATAGCGACCAAATGTTATTACAGAATATATCTCCAAACCCTGTTTTTGTCCCGGCATATTTGAAAAGTCCAACTTTATAGCATCCGGTTCTATTATCTATTTTCTTCGTAATATGAATTTGGTTTCCCTTGGCGTTCACTGGGTGGTTTGCAGATGCGAGTGTTTGTTCTGCCCTTAGTTCTTATCTTTATTTCTATTTTATGGATGCGACGAATCTTTACAAGGGTACTCGGCATGACGAATTATTTCAAGGAATTTGGAAATTGATAACTTGGTCGGCTACAGTTCTAAAGCATTTTTGTTTTTCTAACGCTTCAAGAGCTGGTTCAGAACCAACAAGCTTGCCATCCGACGTACGTTTTTGAAGGGCTAATAAAGAAGCGAAAAGCCCCCTTTTGAGTAACTGGAAGTGCTTACTGATGAGAACACAACTTGACACAAATTCTACCAATGCAACACTTATTAACAGCCACTAACTGAGGGAAAATCGAAGCAACTTTTTCAACCGTACAAATCAAAGATAAGAGAAGAACTGAAGTTTTTAGTTTCAAAATTATAGGAGGTCAGTTGCGGATTTTCCCGTCCATCGGAAGGCTGGTCATTTTGACTTGGTGAGTTCAGCCCTTGTCTCCTCATTGGTCGATCAGTTTGCAACCCTTGCAATGGGCGTCTGATTCTCTGAAGATGGAAACTAACCTGACCAATGATTGTTAGACTTAATTTTTGAACTCAAAATGACTTTAAACTCTATTGGTTAATTACGTTCCCGTTGTCCCACCTCAAGGAGTGTCGTCAGCGTACAGTCTTCCCTTAAGTTTACGCAACACGCCCCCTTCAGTGGCGTCTCGAGGCTTCAATTGCTTTGGGGCAAACCCTGCAGTTTTCAATAATTTCAATGGATTGGGAATTCCTGTAATTATAAAATTATACATAGCATTTAGGTAAAACTAACGGTGACTCTCTTCGGAAAATGTTTTATATATTTTTAACAAACTTAGCTTCATCGGAACTACGCAGTCTTTCGTTAGTTTCACCTGCTCCTCTCTAATGATAATTTCCAAACCGCATCTGTCAACGCGTACGTTGACAGAAGGTAGAATACGTATCCAGCCTGGCGCACCTGCTCCTATCAGCTAGGGGAAAATTCTACTGAAAACCTAGCTGTTTGTCTCCTCTTTTTCATATATTCCCACAATTATGACAATTTTTAGTAATATGCTAGCCTTCGGAAGTCTTAGATATCCCATGATACGCCTCTGACGCGTGACCGTTCAGCGCTCGGGGTAGTTTCTAACATCTGCTAACCAAATGGTGGAGATTCAAACTTCTCAGCACTCCCTTGGTTGTAACTTTATAGTTATTACAGAATATATCTCTAAACCCTGTTTTTGTCCCGGCATATTTGAAAAGTCCAACTTTATAGCATCCGGTTCTATTATCTATTTTCTTCGTAATATGAATTTGGTTTCCCTTGGCGTTCACTGGGTGGTTTGCAGTGTTTGTTCTGCCCTTAGTTCTTATGTTTATTTCTATTTTATGGATGCGACGAATCTTTACAAGGGTAGGCGGCATGACGAATTATTTCAAGGAATTTGGAAATTGATAACTTGGTCGGCTACAGTTCTAAAGCATTTTTGTTTTTCTAACGCTTCAAGAGCTGGTTCAGAACCAACAAGCTTGCCGTCCGATGTACGTTCTCGACAGTCAAACCCTGCATAAGATCGATTGACGTTGATTGAAATGAAAACGACAAATGCTTGATGTAAAATCATCACCGCATTATAAACCCATGTTCTTTGCAAGCCATCTCGAAGCTTATAACGATTATTTACATCGACAGTATCAATGCTATCTACGGTTTGCGCAATTGTGCAGTATTTTCGAATAACTATAATCGTCCAAAGTAATTAAGATAATCTTTTACAAGCGCCTAAGTGCAACGTGCCTTTGCATTGCTCAGAATACGCTATTAGTACTAATGATCGTCTATCAAGGAGAAGTTCTAAGCAGAGAAGATGGGGACCTTGGCGGAATAATTTCTAAATACTCGTGCAAATATTAAAGCTGAAGCTGTAATAAAAATTCAGATTTTGCATAAATGCTCATAATTTATAACGATTTGCGTACGTATGATAAACAGATGTTTTTAGAAAACGTTTTTAGCTACGGCTTCAGGCGTTGCTATGGAAAGTCAAAAGTAATCACGTCATCATGGTATTGTTGTATCTGGAACTCCATGGTATTTTGACGAAATTAAATCACTCTTTACTCGTATACAGGGTGTTTCAGTTTATTGTTGCATAACTTTAAGATTCGATAGAACTTTTAAAATCAATGCATAAAGTCTATATAAACATGGGTCGAAAAATGCGTGGCCTCCGAAATACAGGGTGTTTAAATTTACTTTCTTAAATAGTTTTTTTTAAATATTTCGAACAATGTTTGATGTATCACAGTGAAAATTGGTATACAAGGGTTTTTTGGCACGACAAAACGAACCATTTTCATACACTACAGGTACAGTAGAGAGCGCCCTCTAGCGGCTACAGCAAAACTATGCCCATGGTTCGTTTTGTCGTACCAAAAAAACCCTTGTATACCAATTTTCACTGTTATACATCAAATATTGTTCGAAATATTTAAAAAAAACTATTTTAGAAAATAAATTTAAACACCCTGTTTTTCGGAAGCCACGCATTTTTCGACCCATGTTTATATAGACTTTATGCATTCATTTTAAAAGTTCTATCGATTCTTAAAACTATGCAACAATAAACTGAAACACCCTGTATACGCTCCAGTGGCAGTTTTCTCAACACATTTTATGTCTATTTATCTTCCAGGTGAAGGTTCATTTGTTCGTTTTTTGTTTTCTTTTCTTCTTCAGTTGATTGTTATTCAATCTTCGAATAGCAATGTTGCATTGTTCGTGGACCCGAAATTCGAGAGATCGATGACAAGGGGCTTCATGTTGCTTGTGTTAGAGAAAATAATTTAAAACAACGTTTTGGGATGACGGGCAAAACATATTCTCATTCAGGGTCCAATCACAAACCATGAAAATCTGGAAGCAAAAAACTACTCATACTAAAGCAACTTGAATCAATTTACAGAGGAACTAGAAATACAATGATGATTATCAGCAATAAAATAAAGACAGCAACAATAAACATGAAAAAATATACGCAAGATCAATAGATTCCTTTACACAAAAATTTTAAAAAGCACAAAAACGAAATAAAAAGATATGCTTATACTCAAAAAGCAAAAGCATTTACTTCAAATTATCATAAATACCATCTGGAGGATTTCCTTCAAAATTCGCAAGTACAAGGATATCCTTTGTTTTATGAATACGGCTCACTATGTCATCTCTATACAATCATCTTTCATCTCTTCCAGTTATAACAATAGCGGCTTCGTCAGCGACGGTCACGACAAAAACCAAAATGAACTCCCCCAGAAACAAACCAATCCCGAACCTCCTCCTCCTCCAGCCATGGAGGAACCCTTCGAGTTCGACGATCTCTTGCCTCACATCGGCGAGTTCGGCATCTACCAGAAGATCCTCTTTCTCTTGATGATACCCTTCTCGTTCTTCGTCGCGTGGGTGTACTTCACGCAGATCTTCATCTCCATAGTGCCGGAGAAGCACTGGTGCTGGGTGCCGGAGCTGGAGAATCTCACGGCAGAAGAAAGGTGAGTTATTAAAAGACTATGTTGCTACCCATTCTGATGAAATGCGGTATTTTGAAATTTGGAGTGATAAAATTGAAGCGTGGGTACTGTACCAGTTGGGACCTTCCTTTTCAGAAACAAAACAAAAGTAATATGCGGTAAATTACCACCGAAAATGTGAAATAACACTATTTATTTTGTAAGGAAAGAGACAGCTCTGTTATTTTAAGGTATCAAGAAAAACATAGCAAACAATACGTATTTTTCTGTTTTATTTGTTATTTCGGTATTATCGTACATCTACTTGGTTCAAAGTGAAGCCAAACAAACTGCAAACAAAAGGCAATATCGTTGTTGATATCGTTATTGTTAGAATTACTTTATAGCTTTATTTGTAACTGATGTTGTTCAACTGCGAAAAAACTGTAGAATAGTTATTCAGTGGCCAGTGACATTCTTTTGTTTGTCCTTGCCTGTACACATTTCTGAGGTGATGCGATGTCGTTGCTTTATTTTTATAGTACAGTTGATGATGTGATTGCAGTAAATCCTTTAGAAGTATAAGCACAGACTCCGCTGTTCTTTTAAAGGAAATTGTTATTTTTAAACAATAACCTTCAAAGAAAGGATCGTCTCTTAACCTTCCGCGTGATTATTCTTAAGAATTTTCGTAATTTCTCAAAGGTAATCCCATACTCAAAGACGGTGGTCGATACGTATTCAAGGTATTAAATAAATATTACTAATAAAATTCCTCCGGTAATTCTTCTGAAGACAAATTTTATGAACATACGTCCACAACAACTTTTACATTTATGATACATAGATACATTTACGACGATTTTTTTCAGTACAAGGTGTTGCAATTTTAGGAAACAAGCCTTTCTGATCTTGGAAAACTCTTTAAATGCTATTTTTAATATGAGCATATTAAAAGAGGATGCAAAATGACATATTTTGATATCTTTTACAAAAAAAAATGTACGAAAATGACATTTTTCAATGTGACAGGAACCATTTACCATTTTGCTATTTTAATCAGAAACGGTGCACCAGATGAGAAAATGAAAATATGAAACTCAGTAGAAAAAATATAAGTACTTTCGAATTTTTTTTATATAGAATATTTTTTTATGATATCTACCAGTGGCGTCCATACTGAAGATTTTTCAGAAAAGATATGATACGCCATTGCTTTTATTTTCATAAAAAAATATTTTTGAAATCCTTATTTAAAAAAACCATTTTCATGCATTTGTGGTACAAAGAAATTAATTTGAACTAGTAGACTTCCTTATTTTGTTTTCAAAATATTGACATTTGATCGATTACGGTCTTATTTTGAGAAGTATTCACAAACGTGATAGTTTTTCACATTGCGAAAGTTTATTTAATCAATAAAAAAGAGAGAATAAGTAAAGCATATAAGCATTGACAATATTTGTTTTAAACACAATTGAGGAACATCCAGAAAGAAGTATTATTTTTTACGCGAAATGGTGCATCGGACGGAAAAAGGTCAAGAGGTCAAATTTGTTGCAAAATAAATGGGAATTTCGTAAATGATTTTTTTTTCGGAATAAGCGATGGCATACCATATTTTTTTGAAAAATTTCCGGTGCACATCCTGTACGGACGCCACTGGTAGAAATATTAAAAAATATTCTACATCAAAAAACGGTACTACTGGTGCTTACTAGACGCATGTCTGATTTCATGAAAATGTCTAGAAGAGTATTAAAGTTATGATATAAAAACAATTTTTTTTCTTAAAACTGTAACACCCTGAAGCTCAAAAATTAAAAGGTTTAGGACATATATTCATATGTACTTTTCTTCCTAAAATGAGCTAAAGAATCATATCCTGTATTTTTAGCCATAAATCAAAAAATACTCTTTTGTATGTCTCGATACTAATATACAGTATATTCAGATAAGAGATAGACCGGACATAAACAAGACCACGTGATCATCGAACGCTGTAACATTCGGCAGGGACGTATTAAGAGTCACGCAGTACATATTTTAGATAGTAGATGCTGCTTTGCGTAACTTTGTAGTAAATTAGCACAATTCGATGTGTATACGATTGGTGATGGATATAGGATCATGTGGGGGTGGGGTAAGAAATATATAATGGTGTAAATATACATAAGAGTTTCAAAATTTTCGCTTCGATTTCCAGCTTCGGATGCCGCCTGATGTTTGTTGAAATACAGTCGAATATAATCTCAAAATGGCGTTTAAATTAGCCTAAATTAAAAATAATCGTATATCTCTTAAAATTGCTTTTAGAATATTGATTAGTATATTTTATGATTTCTAGGTAAATATGTAACCAAATTAAAAGGTTCATCATGTAAAAAAATGTGCATGGTTGAACATTGTCAGAAAGTAGATTCTTGAATAGGTTTTGCAAAATGGGTTCAAAAATGTCAATAATTAATTAAAAAATACAGTAGCTTTATAATTACTTATAACTTACCAAATTTGATGAACGACATCTTTTATCGGAAAGATGAGCTTGATGAGCTTTCATCATCGCTACTGCCTGAAGCACCAACGTCAATAATGAATGGCTCGACTTGTTCCTCTAAAATATTGTCCAATTCCCACATTCTGTTTTCAACTTTGTCTTTCACGTGCTTAATACAGTTTTCCCATTTTTGCGCTGTTATTAATTCTAGTGCTTCTTTGAAAAGTCCTTTGAGGTCACAAAATTTAAAAGTTGTATTGTGCTTAGCTATATAATTTTTAACCTCTGCCCATATGAGCTCAAAGAAATATCAAATTGCAATGATGCACACGACCTACGTAACACGTCTGAACCTGAATGTGACTCTGCCTTGATACGACTACTCTGCCGCTCGGCATAGGCATTTAATTGCGAATTGACCAATGAGGGCTCGTGTTTTACGTCGAGACGGCGGCGTTAGCGTGAAAATCACCCGAACCTTTTGTTTACATCCGGTCTATCTCTTATCTGAATATATATATTGATGAGTAAGAATTACTTGGTATGACCAGACTATCGTTGTACGTTCGTAGTAGTTTTTCTGCAAAAACCTTGCGCACATATTAACAAGAACGCGACACAACAATAACAAAACGTAATAAGATTGTTTTGGCCGAAAATTGCTCAATTTCGCGACTAGCATTTTTGGTACTTCCTTCTTCCTTATATCCCAGGGTCTACAAATACAATCGCCAATTAAGTGTACGTATTACGAACATAGCCGCAAACTAAATTAGGTGATTAACGCTGCATGTACTGGTGTCTTTATTGGGCTTTTTTTAAAGGATTACAAGTAGAAGCAATGAAACTACAGTCGATGTGATGTCTGAGAAGTAAAATTTTATTTTCAGTTATAGGAAGCTCCTATATGAGCATTTTGTTTAAATGTGATGCAGTAGATCCGTACTATGAGGTCAAGTTTAGCATAATTGACCTTCTGTTGATTTACCACTGTTTTATTGGGAATACTAGACCAGTTCTCGATAGCATAATCAATTCATGTGTACGTATGACCAAGATATCTGCTGAACCGAGACATCTATATTAATTGCAAATTCGCATAAATCTCTGTTGAATATATCTCTCCACCTTGTTTATACCGAAGCAGGCAGCAGCCTAAATACCAGGACACCGCGGCTGCGATCAAGATTACTGCCCGCATAGCACCTTTTGAATAGACGCCTCTTGGGCGTTGAGGTTTCCGTCCTTTGCGATTCGGTTTTCAATGGTTTCAGTGATAAGCGAATTGATGGTATTTTCCAACATATCCACATAAATATATCCTAAAATGTCTGCTTATTCATTAATTTTCGGGGGGACTAGCATGAGGCTTTTCATTGCTCCAATATCGGCAGTTACGCTTATTAACAAATCCGTTTAGATAGGATGTGCATTCGTCACTGAAGCAGATCTGCTTTACGTGAATGGTATTGTCATCCATCGCTGCAGTCATGAAATCATCTTCGGTTAACTCTTGCAATATTGTCATTTTGAATGGATGAAATTTATGGAGTTTAGTGACTGTGTGTACAGAGCCTAATGAAATACCAGTCGCAGCAACAATTCTGAGCAATTAGGATTTATTGCAAAATGACCAAAAAGTCTAACTTCATTCAAAACTCTCCGATCACGTTAATTATTTGCAATAGATCCAGTTTGAGTAGAAGTAACTAGCCACTCTTTTGGTTAGTATGTAAACTATTTTGGAAGTAAATCCTGAATCAATAAATTAGTTTTCACTATCCCAAGATTGTCACAAACATACCTGACAGCAAATTGAATTCTTCCTTTCCTTTAGCAACAAATATTCGCGGAAAATTCGGGTTGTTATTTGGTTATTGCCACGTTTAATCTTGGTAATTGCTGTTTATGTTGGTAGTTTCCGTTTTGAATTATAAACGAATTGTAGATTAGGCAAACCCTAACGGGCAACATTTTGAACACTTGTTGAAATGAAAAGTTATATTTTAGTGTGTTTTCGTTTTCTAACTGAACAAATTAAATTAAATAAATATATTTCTAATTTTCTCGAAAACGATTCGACTGATTTAAAAAAATCAAACGTCAAAATAAATAATAAAGACTTTTCAAACAAGCTATTACTCGATCTCCCGTGTCACTCAAAAATTTTAAGTAGCTTTTGGTTAAAGAGTTGTCTCCCTTGACAAATATTTTGACGTATCTCTGCGTTTTTTCTTTTAATCAGTGGTTTTCGACAGGTTTTCAAATGAACACCCTGTATATTTTAACGAAAACGTAAACACCTGCTTCTTATTTTTATTGTGTTCTAACCACTGAAAGGCGAAATATATTCTTCATTGTTCTGACCGTTGACCTACTTTTCCCTATATTTGCATAGTTTTTCATTGTGACTAAGGTCGCAGTTCTTCAGTTGATGAGATACATGTAATTGGTATGAAATAAAATATATAATGGAATAGTTTACAAGTACATACAGGGTGTCCGCAAAGTTGGGGTTTTCCTTTTCAGAAACAACTACCCTTGA